AAATCTTAATTTTCTTGTGTGAGCACTGAAAATAACTGTAGAAGGGAAGAAGAAAATTAGGGAGAAAAGTAAGCAAAAATTTGCAGGGAAATTTGGCTGTCAGACATACCAAGATGTTTCAAAAAGTTGGACGCTTTTGAATATACTTTCAGGATACTTCAAAGAATTTAGGTGTTCAAAGAGAAAACACTTGGACGTGTACACTAGCAAATACCATCAATTGAGCTTGTGTTAACAGAAAAGACAAAAACGATATCATTGCAGATTAAAGTGAAGAGCGACTGTTTTTTAGACTATATGGTTGTATAAATTTAAATTACGTTATAGAACATCATATCGTATCATAAATGGAGAATCCCATGATTTTCTCAGTCGAATTATTTGAAGATTCAGGAGTTTATCCAGTGACACCTGTCCAGTGGATGTCACCTAAAGATATTTTTTTCTTCCTGATGAAACAGCGTTCCGAGCGGTAAAGTCGCTGAACACTGGTATTTCGGTCCGAGGTTCGAATCCCGCGAACGGGCTGCCTGCATGGCGTTTTCCTGGTCTTCCCCATGTTTAACGTGTATGCGAGGCCAGTTTTCCTTAGAAAGTCCTCCACGAAGGCATCCCTCCCCTTAGGCAGATAGCCCTAGTGTGCTTTGTCATAATTAAATAAACCAAAACCTCTTGAGGAAACCAGGCTTTCCTTTCATCTCATACTTCACCTTCAAATGTTTAGCCTCTAAAGACTGATAAAGGCTCTGACCAAATACTTCGTGAAGAACTTTCGAAGGAAAACCAGCTGGCATACACGGTACACATGAGAAAATCCACGAAAACGCCCATGCAACCAGCCCGTTTACTGGGATTCGAACCCCGGAGTGAACTACCAGTGTTCAGCGACTTTATCGCTTGGCCGTTTGTGAGCCTTTATGAAATGGAAGGCGATAACTTTATTTAAATGATTGTCAGAAATACCAAGATTTATATCTAAAAGTTGGATACTTTTTAATATACTTGCAGAATGCCTAAAGAAAAAGAGCAAGAATAAAGTAGAATGCCTGAAGAAAAAGAGAAGAAAAAAAAATTTTGCGTAAAATTTAGTATTTGTATTTTTTTTTTTTAAATTTAAAAAAACCTTTTTAATCTTATGATATTTGATTCTTGCGATTTCAAAAATAAAATATTTCACTAAAATATGGATAACATTTTAAGAAATGTAGGATAAAATTGTGTAAAGCAATGGGCACAATGATAAAACTGTTTAAAGCAGTGTATGCAAGTCATCCTAAGTTAAAATGTCGGTTATACATCTCTCTTATTTATATATATATCTTTTCTGAACGGAACATTGAAAGGCGTGTTAACTGTGCTTTACTGTATTTTCTCTTTTAATATATGCAGTTTTCAAACGCATCGTAGTCTGGGTTACAAAGTATTCTTCCAAAAGAAACGCAATTCAAATAAATAAAATCAAATTCTGGAAAATTTATATTAATAAATATATTTAAAATGCTCAGTTCGAAGGAATAAATAGAAAATTTTTAAAAACAATTATCTGAAGAGACAATGCAACACAAACAATTAAAATAAAAGTATAAAAATAAAAATTTAAAAATTACCTAAAATAATAACTATGACAAAAATATATATATAAGAAAAACTATTTGAAAAAAATAAACGCTACACCTTTAATTACGCAGTTCGAATAGGTAAATAGAAATTTTTAAAACAGTTATTCGAAAAAACCATGCAACTTAAACAATTAAAATGAACCTCTCACGGTAAAGGAAACTAGGTTACCATATATTAAGAAGTTCGCCAAGTGAACTATTCTTGTCGCAAACTGAAAAAAAAAAGTGCCGGCATAAATTTGTGAATTTCTCCGTAAATTTCGCTCCAAATTTTACAAAATTTCATATTTAGGCGTAATTTGAGTTGTAGAATCGAAATATGTAAAAAAAAAATTGGTATGTTATTTCAGAAAAAGTCTGATTTTGTGTCAAAATACCTATGTTAGAATAGTGCTATATATAAATCTAATATATATCCTAAGTCGAAGACATGAAGAACGCAATTTGAATTTAGTCAATCGGCCCAGTAGAACGGGAGATATCGAAATGTCCCATTTTTTTTTTTTTTTTTTTGAGCAGTGTACATATATATGTTATATAATGAAAGCATTTAATAATTTCTTTTAATAATCGCAAATATGTTATTCCTTTCGGGTAACATATATGAAAAGCTACATCAAAATTGGATGTTTCATATTTAATATTATTCGAAATATTCGAGACAGAGTCAAGTATAATTGTCGAAAACGATAAGTACAAAAATGAGCCATTTTCATTTTTTTCTGCTTAAAGTTAGCCTGAAAAAAATTTTTATCCCAAATAAATTTTTACTTAATTAAAATAAACGGGGATAATAATAATAATAAAATAATATTTAATAATTAAATAAATTAAAATAACTTATAGTTTTTACTTGAATGTGCATTGCGTAATGAAGTTGCAAATACTATTAAATAGAGATAAGCTTACAATGCATTACTTGCAGTCTTTAACCGTGCGTGTGTCGTTAGGGGTAGACTACTTTTATTCTCGTTATTTGGTGAACTGCGACCTAAGCCATCATCATTATTTTCAATTAAGTTGCTGAATCTAGGGAAGGAAACTGCTACTAGGAGGTGAAGACGGAAGGGTTGAGCTTCTGACAGGCGTGGAAAAGCATACAATGAGCAGTATCTCTGGGGGATATGTTAATTTCATGCTTCACGTCTGAGATACGTGAAATAAATTGAATACTGGTTTAAACTTGTTCACGACACATAAACTGCATAAAAATAATCATGTTATGCCTTGTCATGTTTCACTGGTTTGACGAAGGAAAGTGAGATTTCAAGTTAGAACGCTTCTAGTCTAAGATTAAGTAAGTAAGTAAAGCATTTTGAAGAAAACCAGTGCAACAACGAGAGGTCTTGGTTTGAATCGAATGGAGCTCAAAATAACGTGCCTGGTTTCTTATCGAAATAGAGAAAAAGAGCCTTAGAATTGTTTTGTTAGCTAATATTTTTAGAGTACAGTGTTAATTTAACCAACTCATTTGGTAATATATTTTTACTGAGGACGTTGGAAAACATTTTAAATCGATAAACGTTTATCTTTTGTACAAAATTTAAGTTTTTAAACTTATAAAATACTATAAATAAAATAATAAAATACTATATATAAAATATTATAAACTTTAAATAAATATATCGTTTTGGGTGTTTAAAATGGCCGAACATGAAATGAAATGCATTCATCTAGAAGGGATACTACACATCGGTCTTTTAGCGTTCTCAGCGCCATGAACGTTGACCAGAATGACTGAATTACGACAGCTGAAAAGGTGAAGCTCCACTCCACTTCTGATCGAAAGCATCCATAGAGATAAATACGAGTGTATCCAACCCTCTTTCGCCGCCATTAAACCTCTCAAGAGGACATTAGTTTCATCTGATTGTTAAATTTAAATTCATCTGAACTTTAAATTCCCCAATTTCTCCATGCGCAGAGCTACTAAACACTTAAAGACAACCAAACCAGTTTTGATATTCGAACTCAGGTTTTGATAAACATTATATGTGTTTAATATAGTTTGAGATCAAGCATGTTAGTATATAAGTATTTGAAAGTGCACTGAATCCCTTCCTCTAGCTAAATATTGGCTCTTATACTTTTTGTTAAATGGAGGAATACCTTGGGACCACACTTGTTTAACTAAACACCAGGTTGTTCTTCCGTCATTCGTCACCCGTTTAAAATAATTTACCGCTATAACAGTGGTAAATTATTTTAGACGGGTAAATTATTTTATATATACAAACCAAGAACATTTATTGAAGCTTTATTATACAAAGTTCCATCGCAAACCAATATCCAAATCCTAAACAGGTTCTTTGAATTCAAATCTTAAGAACAAATATTGTTTTATGATTGTCACTGAATCACAGAAAAGATGAAAGAGCATGCGATTTGCTGACTTGCTACGACCCCTTCTTCTTCCTTCTTATCCCGTCAACACTCATTTTCAATACGACAATACGGTTTCAGGATTATTTTTCATTTAGCTCTGATGACTTATATGCAACTGAAATATTGACATAACAATAGAATTTTGCATTACCTTTAAATTTTAACTTGTATTTACTGAAATGTCTTTTATTTTTTGAAGCCAATAAACAACTGTACTGAATGACATTCAAAAACCTAAATTTATATTATGTTTATGAAAGACTGAAGTTTTCAAATTTTCCAGTCTATGTAGCTTTTATGTGACATTTTAAGAAATACACATTTGATCCGGTTTGTAAAACATTTCAGTTCCTTAAAATTTGCTTTAAACAAATGAATTTATTATTATTTGTGTTACAAATACACACATAAATTTAAGACGTGAGATTTCGCCCGCAGCCAAAAATTAATTTAGTTAAGCGCTTTAATTAAAAAGAAGAGAAAGAATAAAATATTTTAACTTTCAAATGATATGCTTTATGAATATCTAGTTAAAATAACTAATAAGGACATTAATAATGCAATAATAAAAATATGCTCATTATATGACTAGATGAATAAATTTGTATAAGACATTTTCTAGTTTTAAAAAAGAATAACTGAACTAATCCGTTTAGTGAAATATTTGCAGAAACGCAAAGCTATTAGTAATCAGAAAAGTAACATTGTGACATCAGGTTTCAGTTGTTATGATTAAAACTATTTCTAGAATATATAGATAGTCAGTAAAGGTTTTAAAATCTTTGATATCCCCAAATCCAGTACAAATAAAACAGTAAGTCTTAATTACAATACAATGAAAGAACTGTTTAATATAAAATGGCTTTTAGATAGCTCTGAAAGCAGCCAGTAGTTACATTGTTTATAACAGCTAACAGTTGTTTCATTTGAAGAGGAGATGAAAAGGACAGATGTTGTCGAAACCTAATTAGCAATATTTCATTGCCACAGATTTATGATTAACCTTCTTCAATGATTGTTCACATTCCTTTTTTGGAGTATAAATATGCCCTCGTATTCTTTTTTCAAGTGCACTGGAGGATCTTTTCCCTGAAGTAAGTTTTCTTCCATTCTAATTCATTAAAATCGAGAAAATACAAATCCCAAAATGTTTCTTATAATTTTTTTTGCTGAATATATTAATAATACTGCTTATCAGGTCTCGGAATTCATTCCTAGTATTGTACCTGATGATCATAGAAAATAACACTTAAATTATCGACAAATTCTGATCAAATTGGAATTAATTTTTAAAGCAAGAGAAGATCTAATCTCTCATGATCCAGAATAAATGAGGCGAAAACGTCCCCTGTTAGATAATTTAAAATTTTCTACCCTAGAAACCGTTAGAAATTAGGAAGTTGTAAAGATATATGGACATTAACTGTTACCACTTGATTGACTTGGATCGTTAAGTTAACGCAAAACCCTCGAGGGCTGTTTACTTAAAGGGAAGGTTGATTTTGCGGAGTATTTTCTAAGAAAATTTAGCATATGTTCCCATTATACGTAAGATAAACCATGGTATCTCTCATAAAGCCAACTTCCGTTCTGTGGGGTTTGTAATCGGTTCGAGTTACTAGTGCTTGGGGAACTTACCGTTTTGCAGCTGGTTAGCCTACATGTTGGTTAGTAGAGAATTCTAATAAAACTTTATCGTTTCATCCCGCAATCAGATACATCTTGTTTAAGTTTAAACTTATAAAATTCAAAATTATAAAATTATAAATTTATTCTTCAGGAGTGCAAACATTTGTTCTCGAAGAAGAGAAACCTGGGTCTAAGCGCCTTCGAAATCAATAGAATTTAATCCCAAATCTAGTCAAGCAAGGCTATGTTTTCTCCTAGATTTAAATGCAACAATTATTTCTTTTTACAGGTAATTACCAAAGCAGTCAACATAAGTTATCCAAAAAGAACAGACCTATTAACTTCGGTGAATCGTAATATGCTTACCGATATCTTAATAATAATAGTACATATACACATCGACAGATATTTCTTTTGATCACGTACCTATTTATCTTGCTAACAATTATGTATCTCTGTACTTTGTTCTATTCATTTATTTTTGGCTTTACGCATTTGTATGAATACAGAAATAAATGTGAGAGATCTTAAACGAAAAGCTGTAGGAAACCTTGAGATAAAACTGCTTGTTATTAGTTCCGACGTAAGCCTCCTTTGATTAGAATCGCTGGCTTCCGAGTCGCTATTGCTAATGGGATTTTTCCTATTCATTATTCTTATCGTTAAACGAGTTCAGCTCTGTGAGACTTCCCTTATAGATACCATAGCAATTCGTTGTCTAGTTCTAGGATGAATTAAGAGAACAAGAGTTCAAAAATGTGTTTTGAAAACAGTCATCCTATTGTATATTCGTAAATGGCTTTAAATTCCTTTTCAGTTTGCGTGTGTTAAAATAAATATCAGTACAATATTTTAAGCAAATGTATTTTAAGCAATGGATAAGACAAAAATTTTTTTTAAAACCTTTGCTTAATTTAAATTAAAAAAGGTACTATTCCGTTTTGAGGACCGTAAAAAAATTGCAGCTAAAATGTATGCGCAAAAGCGCCAAAACTAGCAAACGCGTGCGAATTAAATTATGCTTAATTCATTATGGATTAACATTTAAGTTATTAGCTTTTTTTTATATAGAAATTGTAACTTTAAGTGTAAAAATATTTTTAATTGTTTTACTGTATTTGGTGTTTTTTTATGTTTTCTATAGCTGTAAAATTTTAATGAAAAATTTTGAATTTTATATTTTTTTGCCTTGCCGCCAGTGACAATTGAATTAATTAGTAGCGCATACGCATTAGGTAAGCGGCGCGAATCGTCTGCGAAAAAGTTTTTTTTTTTTTTTTTTTTTAATTTCTTAATTTTTTATGTATCGTTTTAGATTTTATAGTATTTGAATAGAACTTACGGTAATTCTTCAGATGAATAATTTTTTTGTGCATTCTGAGTCGTAAATGATGTTATTGCTGTTAAAAGTGAACGTAGCACGAAGTGTCGCTATGGTAAATAAATATAGTGAACTTTAAAGGTGCATTTATTCTATTATGGTCTAGCGCTATCGACGAAGTAGAATTAAGTTCAAAATTCGTTAATTGTTAATTCAATATGTTTAAATAAATGTGGGAAAATTTGCGTATAATTTAATATTTCATACAAAGAAGTCATGTGTGTACCACATTTTTTTATATATAAATTATAATAATGATTTGAAATAGTTATTTTTACTCTTATGCTTTCATTCTGTTATGTTAGCCTTTTTTATATAGATTTATTATAATAAAAAAGTATTATATGAATTACCTTTCATCTAAATTAAAACAATAAATCATAGATAGTTATTTACTTTACAGTATTTTTCTTTCTTGCGTTAGGGTTGCCGCAATTATTTTTAGCAGCACTGGCATCAGCAATAGTTTGGCGATTTTTACGGTCCTCAAAACGGAATAGTACCTTAAAAAACAATAATTTTGAAGTAAATTGTTTTAAACCATTTTTGTAAATTTATACTCCCAATAGATTAATTGATTTGTGAAAATCTAATGAGGTTTTGCATTAGGATATATCTTTTCACTTTTGATTATTACGAAATTTAAGCAAATATTTCATAACTGTGTCCGATTCCGAATATAAAAGCTTTCAGTAAAATGATTACTCATGAATTCGAGCCATATTATTCTTCTATAGTGAGTGTTATCTAGAAAAAATATAGAGATGGCGATTATCAATTTGCTTAATGGATTTACCAAATGTTTTTGAATCAGCTTTGGAATCAGGACTGTTTGTTGAGGAACCTGCTAAAGTATGGTATGTTAGTTTCCTTATACCGTTGAATTAATAAATTTATAAATCAACGAAGCGAATTATCAAGCAAAAATTAGCAGATTAATTAAGAAAGAATAAATTATTTTGTATCCAATTTCTTAAACTATTTTGATAAGATTTAAAGATATAAGAAAGTGATTTTTAGTTCAAAACACAAATTGATAAACATTAAATAAGACTTTTAGAAAATTGTAAATATTTTTAGCAATTTCCAAACTCTCATAATTCATCAAATATTCACCCACTAAAGTCTGCAAGTCCCCTTTCAGATAGGATAGATCGCTAAGAATATCTTGAAAAACGTTTGGTCCCTTTGTAAAGCGATTAGGATTTTGAAGCAGGAAGACGTGAAAAACGAGCAGTGACCTTACCTGGACTCGAATCTCGGACCTCTCGAATACGCACAGAGTGTGCTGACTATTACACCACAAAGGCATGCTAAAAAGGCGTGGAGAAATACCTTATATACTCTTCCTATTAAAGGACGACTGAGGATTAGGGGACTGAATCGCCAAATCTTGGTGGTGGAGTATCATCATCCACCACCTTTGTACTTACTTGTACGAAGTAAAAAGGAAGTATTGTAATCGCAAAAAGTTTCAGGCAGCATATTTCAACGAAAATATCCATTTTGACCGCTATCGAATGCAATTTAACGATGTTTTTTTGTTTTGCGTGAATCTGTACGTAAGGACAGAAAAATACTCTTTTCCTTCAAAAAATTATAAAACTACTTTAAAATTAATTCTGAAGAGAATTTTTCGTGGCGTCTGTACGAACGTATGTCGTACGTAGTATCTCGTATAACTCAAAAACGAGTAGCCCTCAGAACGTTGAATTTTTTTATATAGGACTGCTATAGCATGTAGATGTGCACCTCGTATTTGGTTTGCAATCGCCTCATCAAACTATAAATATATTATATATATATATCTTTATAGCTCAGTGATCAGTTTCTTTACTCTATATGTTTGGTAAATTGTATATGTTTTGCTTTAAAAATGATTGAAATTATGTTGTTTTTATCTTCGGTTAAGGATTTTATGCCTTTAGTAAATCTGTGTGCAATATTTTAGAATTATCGCAATTTAAAGTTTGTTTAATCGCCGCTAAGCCTTTTTTAATGGCGGCCATTGATGTTTACATTTGAAACAGGAGACTAGTGGATTTATTGCCAATCTAGAGAAACTAGCTTCGCAACAACAAAGATAACGCATTCTTATTATAGCCATTAAATCATGCTTAATTCTTTCTGGAATTTTTTCGAGGAAATAAGCGTTTAGAGATTTACTTCGTATTTTAATATAGATATTTTTGAGTTTTATGTATTTTTTTGCCTTCTCGTGAAGTGAGAACTGAATTAATTAAATGAGAAATAATCAATCGTCTGTGGTTTCGGTTGTTAATTTCTTTATACATAGTTCTAGCTTATTATAGTATTTGAATAGAACGTTGGCAACGATTAGATAATTCTTTAAATATATACATTTGTGCATTTGAGTTATAATATGAATGAAATATAAAACTGTTAAGTAAACCTAGCGCCAGAGTGTCGCTATGGTAAACTAGTGCTTTAAAGATGCATTATTCTATGTGGTTTATGCGCTGTCGGCGAAGTACTAGGTTTAATTCAATCTAATAAGTTTAAATGAAATGCAAGAAAAGATGCGTATAATTTAATATTCCGTACAAAGAAGTCATGTGGTGTATACATCAGATTTTTTAGTTCAAACATCACTGTAGAAATGTGAAGATTTTGAAGTGGGGAGACGTGAAAAATGAGGAATGCCCTTGCCGGGACTCGAACCTTGGACGTCTCGAATACGCGCCGAGTGTTCTGACCATTTCACCACGAAAGCATGCTAAGAATACGGGAGAAATACCTTATAGCATTACTAAATTTGAAAGTTTTTATGGTTTAGTTTTCAAACATTTTAAATCAAGTTTTATCTCATGAGATTTACGATATGAAACAAAGGGAAAGAGAGATATGCGTAGACATATGAAAATACGTTCTCAAAATAAATGCTGTGAACTACACATTAATATGCAAAACTTGAGCAAAAAATTCATTTTTCAACATATAGCCATGAAATTGATGAAAATGGCTTTTTGTGAGCAGCACTCAGTAAAACCAACTCAGTAATAAAATAACGCATAGGAAAATATCAGCACCATGACATCAGAGGGTATATTAGGAATGGCAAAACGTGACGAATCAGCTCGCGCAGCGCAAAGCAACTTAAAAAAAGAAAGAAGGCGCATTTCCAGCCATTCTTCTGCAAGTAAAAGTGAGATTATGCGTGCAGTATGGCCACAAGAAAACATCAGGATACCTTTATACGTGATAGAGTAAGTGAAAAGCTTGAAGCGGAGTATGACGTCCATCGCCCAAGAGTTTTAAACCGATAAAAGCGTTCTTTTACGAGTTTGGAAATCCTTCCAGAAGACAGGTATAGCTATAAGAAAGATTGGCGGTGATCGGCCAAGGGAAACAATGGTAACTGATTATCGATATCAAACTGCAGGTGAAAACAAATCGAAACCAGACATCGCGGTGACCAATGTCACGGTTGACTGTGATCAGACGACTTCATAAAGGTGGCCTAATCACCCACTGTCCTGAATGCTTCACAAGGAAACGATTTCATTCTAGACATTAAGGCGGTCCCGGTATGCTTATGTGGGAAAGCACCTATGATGAATGGACGGATGGAGCTCCACACTTTCGATAGAGGTTCACCTATCGGAGATTGTTACTCTGACGAACTTATCCTGCCCTCATGTGCGTCTTTTCCGGGGTGCCATTGGTCCCCCGACTTTGCTTTCATGAAACACAACTACTCATGCCACACACTACTCATGCTGTTGAGGAGCTCTTGTAAAGTTAAGATATCCATAGAAGGAATTGGCCAGCGGGCTCTCCTGATTTAAATCCCTTAAAAATGTGCTATTTACTTCAGGGAGATATGGATGGCATGATCATATCCTCCCCAAAACACCAGACAACTGAAACAGTTGCCTCTTGAAGATCCTAAGAACTGTTAGTAAATCTGGTGTTGAGTATGAACAGTCAGTGCAACACAACCGTTAAAGTTAGGAGAGTTTATATCCCTTATTAATGCTCTTTGATTTGTGTTTCTTCCTCTAAAAATCGTAGATCTATATCAACGTCATTCTGTTAGTTTTATACCAACGTCATTCTGTCAACAAAGCATCTTTCGCTTCGTTTCGTAATGTATACATGTTATCAATCTTTCTGCTACTATACTTTTCTCGTCCTTTAAGTATTATATTGGACCTTTTTATTATGAATTTTATGTCTCCCAGTTGATTGTTTTCAGAACTAGGGCCAAAATCTGAAAAGTTGCTTAAATTTTGTACATTAATATAATAACATCAGAAATGAAAATTAATAATTAACTGTTTTAGGCAACATTTTGTTAGTATCAACTGTTCAAATAGGAAATGGGATTGTTGCTATAACTAATATATAAACATGACAAATCATTTCAAAATGTGTGTCATAATCAGATGCAAGTGTGTAATACTACCGGAATAGAAAGGTTCATTTCGGAATAAAGGACGGTACTTTACTACCGGACGCTGAAGCCTTTGTGCGCTTCATCGTATTCGATTAAATAATCAAATACTTAGACACGTTCAGTTAACAATTAACTTCTTCATTCCATTAAAAATAGTTTGGTAAATAACAATCTAAAAGTAATTTGGATATATGTTGTACATAAATTATCTTAGTTCGATATCGAAATTAGACATTTGGTATTGGAGTACTTTGCATTTCATGTTTTCAGTCCTATTAGAGAGAAGTTGCCTTAGTGAATGCTATCACAATTATCACTACTGACATTTATTCATTCCCTCACAAGTACTTATTTTAAATGTGACCTCTACTGAAGGGAGGCACTGGGAGTGGGTTCTTTAAATTTATTTTATTTTCGAAAGAAATAAAATCTCATATTCGGCAGATATTTTTACTAATCCTTCACGTTTGTTTAATTTATGATACACATCATATATAGTTATCCTGATTCATGTAATTTCATTTTATCAACAAAAACTTATGTTTGAAAGGGTTTTAATACTTATGTATTTATATAACTGTTGATAACTTGGAATATGAATGCATGTAACACAGATAAAAGTTTTCTCCACTTGAAACAAAAGGTTCATTTCGGAATAAAGGACGAAAAGTGCTCATTTTAGTACCTGGATCCTCTTTGCACAACACGGGACTTGTTGGATCCGCAAAGCAAGAAATTTTTGTGAATGGTTTAATTAATTACAAAATTAGACTTAAGTTCATAAAATCTTTATTATTTTAATGCTAAGCGTTCTGCAGACTTCCTACTTTTTCAAAAGATTTGAAAATAATACTGATTGTTGTAAATGCATTTAATTCAAATTCTCATTAAACTAATAAATGCCAATGTTCTATTGAGTCCAATACAAATTAAATCTGCTAAATCCCGATCGAATGAATTCCTTTTTCAAATAAGTTAGTATAAATGACATAAGTATACATGTCTGTACTGTATATATTGATAGAGGAAGTTGAAAATGCTTGTCGAAAACGCATTTCAAACACTTACATGCACACAGGAGGATGAACGTATAAGCAGATCTCTTAATGTGTTAAGATGTACCAATTAAAAAAATATTATCAGTCACTTTTGCAGCTTAATGATTCATAGCACTGATCTGAAAACGGAAAAGTCTGAGGTTCAATTTCGCGAAAAAAGAAAAGATTTTTTTTAAAAAAACGTATTTTTTTATATATCGATACATGCAGATTTAACAAATGAAGGGCTTGCGCTGCAGGTATAATCAATGCTATTCGACCTATACTTATTTTGTGAGGAATCTGGTATTCGTAAAGCTGAATATATATATAGTTATAATAGATATATATTAAACGAAGTTAATTTGTTGCACTCAAGATGAACATTTCAGACCATTCGGTAACAAGCTAATCTCTCGTCAAGTAATATTGAGCCTAACACTGGAGTCATATGTTACCATGTATTGCATAAGTACGTAAAATCCAAGAAATTTTATTAATGAAAGTGTAAATGAAGGAAAAAAAGAAAATAAATTTAACATTACAGATGAAAAGTTGTAATTCATCCCACGACTATTTAGACTTCATTTTTTGTTCATTTACTCAATTCGTTTTTCTTTAAATCTACTAAGTGTAGCATAGAATTTAAAAATGTAGTTAATTTCCTTATTTGCTGCTATCATATGAGATATTTAATGTGCGTATCTGTGTTTCAGAAAGGACGGATTTAAAAGAATGGCAATTTCAGCAGCGTATATACTTTGGATTTTTTCCGTCGTGATATGTGTGTCATCGTCACCGTTAGAAGATGCATCTGGTAAGTAAAATTAAAAATTTCGTTTCTAAAATCCTCTTCGCTTGCTCTGGAATTCTAAATAAATTAAAGCGTTTATTATTAAAGAATTTTACGTCTGAAGTTATGCGGCAGGCCATCGTGTAAACTAAATAATAGTTACCTGAATAATAACAAACCATAAAACAAACAAACTCGTGGACTATGATAGAATTCTTCTTCATTTGCGATGAAAATCAAAATAGCAGATCTTCCATAAGATTTTATCAACTGTCTTCTCAACTCTTCTTTCAACTCATGCAATCTTTATGGCTCTTGCACACCTTTAGTATTTACTGAGTAGGAAAACTGAATATAGTTGTTTCAATAGATCAGCTGAATCTGTTATCAAGTATGAATAGTTATAGTATAGTTTATAGCTAGCTGCACTGGGCATCTACTTTAAAAATTAACCAGCTACCTCACAAATCACCGCATAATAATGACGTTATAGCTAAAAATATAAGAATAATGCAATGAATGATTAGTTTAATAATTTTCATTTTAAAACGTATAAAATATTACCATTTACGAAATAATAAGCATTCTCAACTCATGCAATCTTTATGGCTCTTGCACAACTTTAGTTTTTATCATAAATGCTAAGAATGCTATGACAATTACTTTTTTTAACTTTCAGAGTGCTTTACTAAATCGCATAACTTAAACATGTTTCTTGGTGTGTATTTTACTTTCCCATTTTAGTCACCCATTTTTTTATTCCTTTTGACGTTTTAATCATTCCATGGTAGTCTACCCTAAACACGTAAGGAACGTAATACACATTTTGACGTCAAATGACATTTCTGAATTTTCATCACAAATCGTATGTAGTACGTGCAATATATTTTTAAAAATTCTGTTCAGTAGATATGGGTAAAAAATTGATTTTTAAGATAACAAACAGACAGACACTGTTTATAAGTAGTAGCTTAGCTAGATAACTTTTAACAAGAAGTTTAGTAATATAGGCATAAGCAGTTCAAAAACTGGTTTTAAATATCTTATTAGACAAATATATACAGCTGAAAACATAAATAAAACAGTATAATAAAAAATATATATACATGAATATGCATTATTTTTTTGTAAATATTGTTTAATTTAAACATTATTGACATAATGAAAGAAACATAAACAAAGTTCGTGAAACCTCTATACGCTATGAGTTTGTCCCGCACTTCATTCCCAAGAATTACAGCGGCTATAGGGATTTTAGTTTATACCAAAGTACCATTAGGCTCAACGTGAATGCCGTATTTTTATCAACCGTATTTTTAATTTCTAAGAAAGCTCTTCACGAAAGCATCTTTGGTTCATGGTGCACAGCTCATTGTTACTGAAAATCTTCTACATTCCAACAGTTTAATGATTTTAAATAATCAACATTAGCAATTAAAATTTTGCTTGAAAAATACTATTGCACGTTTCTTGTTATCTCACATTAGATGCAATATGTCGTAAAGTAATGTAAATTAAATAGAATTAAATCAAGAAAGGTTAATCCGCAACATTTAATTAGATTTTGCTGCAAACAAACACGACGCACCGCATCAAACTCAAACGTTTTAATTTTGTGCTGATCTGAAGGATAACGAATAAGACGTAGTTTGAAACGCAGAAAAATGTTGTCAAATATTATTTGCACTTCAGTGGTTTTAATAAAAAACAAACACAGAATTTTTATAACTCCAATTTAAGTATTTTAACTAACAGAATTAAATTTCTGTAACGAAATCCATTGTATGCATTGATAATTAGACTCCCTTTAAAAGTGTGTATTTATTATTTTAGCAAATTTTGTTTTATATCTCATTGATTATATTAAGTTTTTTATCTTAATCTTTAAATAAATAAATAAATAAATCACTAAAGGAAAAAATATCTATATATAAATTCAATTTCTCATACCATTCTTTTCTGACGAATAGATAAGGGACCAGAGTATTTGGATATGCTGCTGAGCACCGGCCAGTATGAAGAATTCAGCAAAGGTAAGCAATTTTTAAATAATTTAAAAGGAAGTAAATAAAGGGCTGAAATTGCCATTGTTAAAAATTTTAGATTCACTGAACTGAATAACAATTCTGCAGTCTTTTCACTGCTTCAGGAATAAAATCGTTCTCCAGTAAAGTATGTAGTATATTTTAAAAATACTTGCTTCGTATTCTTTTGCATAATAGAAGACATAGTAAACTGCGTCTGTTTTCTCTTATCCAAATATTTTAAAAGAGTACAGAAAATATGTTAAACTCTTACTTATCTTATTTGAGAACTTTTAGTGCATTCCCCAAACATATCCTGTTAGTGAAGTTTATAAGGTTACGATATTTTAGAAGATAACGGAGTGAGTTTTGGTGAAACGAATTTCTTTACCAAAGCTCTGTATACATAAGAGCAAAACATCGAATTAATGATTAAGAAAATACGATATATGTATTATAGAAAATTAGAAAAGATATTCCAATGAGTGTGTCAGAAGGTACTTTTGAAGTTATTTGTGATGTTTAAGCGTTTGGAAATGTAAGTGAATCAGTCGCATTATACAGAAAAGTGAGAACTTTTAGTCTGAAACTACTAAAATGTCCAGTTATTTTTTATCCCCTTCTTTCCCTTATGGCTGAAATTAAGAATGATATTTTATTCACAAAAGCAGCAGCTTATGGTAGCCTCAGTGAAGATTCAGTCTTCGTGCACAGAAATAGATCCAGTTAGCAGTAACAAATGCACAAGAGATTTTTGAATTTTACATTGGGCCGCCCAGATGGGAAACTGGTTAGTGATTTTGATTGTCTGTACTGAAGAACTCGATTTTGAATCCTGGAGAAGGCATGTATATAACTTGTCCATCCCTTCACATGTGGCAACGGTGGCCCATCTCTTACGTGCCTCCATAGTAAAGAAATCACTGCTTCCGGTTTTAAGAGTGGCCGACGCCTATAAATGGCTAGAGACCGCAACTGGAGAAAACATTTTGCATTGGCAGTACAATATTTGATTTGAACGCTACAGACCTCAGTTAGATCTTGCAAGGTCATTTACTACCTCAAGTACTCGTATTATCAGCCAAGAGGGGCATCTCATTCCCAACCTTAGTAGCAGGCGGAGAATGTTGCTTAAATGAAACTGCTTACGAAGACTAGTGTTAGTTAGAATTCGGTTATCTTTCACTTGAGTTTTGAGAGTTAAAAATATCTGGAAATAAAGCGAGTATAATTAAAATGGGCGGAAATAAGTAGATTTTATAAATGAATTTGTATGAGAAAATGGGCATTGAGTTGATACAGAGTGCTGTTGAGTGGTACGTAAAAGCAATATACAGAGTGCTGTTGAGTGGTACGTAAAAGCAATATACAGAGTGCTGTTGAGTGGTACGTAAAAGCAATATACAGAGTGCTGTTGAGTGGTACGTAAAAGCAATATGCTGCAAAAATCATTATTTTCAGTTCGAATTTGAAGTGGTATACATAGCTGCCCGAACCCGGAGTTCGTGAGCACGTATTTTATCTATGGGTGTGCAATTAAAACGGAGCAGGTACTCATGGTAGATATATAGAACTATTAACAAATACCTCTTTAAACACCTGAGAAAAAAGCTGGTTTTAGCAATATTATTACTAAAGCCTCTGACTTATTCACGTTGTTCCATTTTTGTCTTTAATATTATGACTTCTGCATGATGTTTTCTTTATTTGAAATTTAAAAAAATGTGTGTAATATAACATCGTTGTATTAAAATATTAACAGTAACTTATTCGAAATTCACTTTAGAAAGGGCTTATTCTACTAAAGTGGAAATATAACAAAAAAATGGTAATAATGATATGTGTTTACAATACATTACAAATTTATATTGCTAGTCGTATGTAGAAATTACTGCTTAACGTTTTGGATAACTGAGGATTACTTTTTAATTAAGGTTTTTTACAATTCGTGAAAGGAAAATGAAAGCCCTACAAGCCGAGTCAATAGAATTACAGAATTGTGAGCAAATGCAAATAACATTATCATTTTACTCTGATAATGGCTTCAGTAGAACTTTGAATGAATGTAATCATTACGTATAGCAAATATTGACAAAATGCTACGCGTCATTTGAAGTTCTTTTAAACGAGATCTTTTGTCATTGTTTTGAAGCAAAAATGTCGAATGCCTCTGAACCGGAAAATCTATTATGATAGGAAACAATGGCTTATCTTTAGTTTGTTTAATATTTATCAGACTAGGCATTCAGTTGCAAATTATAATACTTTTAGTTCATCTCTTACTTTCATAACACTACATCGATTTTCAAAGATTAGAAAGACTTCTTTTATGTCATGAAGGTAGAAAATGTATTGTTCTGAAACGTTAAATATGTTAAATGTTCCATAATCATGCTGATTACCAGTAACTATTAAATTTTATCTTGGAAGTTGTTTGTTTGCAGTAGGAAACCAAAATAAAAATAGTATTAATTTGAGAAGAGTTTAAGAAGTCTTTTATTAATGGCATAGTTTTCATTTCATTGCGCAATTAATAGATAATTTGAATGTTTGTCGCTGTTATGGATATTTTCTAGACTTTTTTCCCTAGTGTTATTTTCTAGAAACTTTATTGATCAATGAGCTTAAAAGACAGACTTTTGCTAATTCCAACATAAAACTGAGTAACGCTCAATATACCATATAGAATAAAACATTTTATGGGAGAGAAAGTGTTTTACATATTTCATGGTAGTGTTTAAGCTATTTGAGAAGTTACGGAGAGGGAAAGTTGGGTTTCATTTGTGAATTCCTCCTTCTAATTTCTTAATTTCGCTTTTGTATAAAAATAACAGCAGCGAATGGAATTATACGTTTCATATTTAATTATTACTTACTAAAAGTTTTTAAATATTGTTTATTTTGTACTGCATTAAAACTAGAAACATCAGAAACGTTTATCTTAACAATCAACTTGTTAAACTTCAATTCTATTAGCAATTTTTTTCTCTTATTTTTCAATTTTAATAAACATGAGGAAAGGCGAAGATATGTGTTAAAACATCAGTACGTTACTCAGGCCCGAATTAAATGGATTCTTTAACATATTGAAATATTTTTAAAAACAATAAAAATAAGTATTTCAAAATTTCCTGCATTTTAAAAATATAATTTTTATATCTGCAACTGTACCTTTGGTGTCCCATTTCCCATTGAAAACTGACAGGTTCTGTTGCACTGAGGTCTGCGCATTAAATACATACTGCAAATAAATAGCGATATTCTTTAGGGCTCTCGTACACGAGCTAAAAATTGCTAAAGTTTTAGACAAGTTTCTAAATTACAATTAAATGTGAATTTCAGAGAAATATTGTTCTAATGATTTAAGTAATTTGCTTTTCAAATTAAACAGTACTATGTAGTTTATTTGCATATAATGGTCATTTATGAACTCCTACGTAAAGAATCTAAGGTCGAAGTGGTTTCCTGAATTTTGTATTCAGAATCCTTTGTCCCACTAGTTATTACTATTACAGAAACATTGATATTTTGATTCTTGTTCAAATTTCCAAAAAACCGGCCGAACACATAGGCATGTTCGTGAGTATTTCAATGAATGATATAAATACTGGTCCATTTCCATTAGAAAGTCCTCTATGGCGGCATCTCTTTCTTTAGGCATGTAATTTGCCTGAGCCTTGGCAAAATTGATTAAACAAATCTAATGAGTGTGATTGTGCAACCAAATTATGCGACACAACTGAACAATGGTACAAGGTGGCCCAAAGTAAACAGAACCCAAAGCAAATGAAAAACACATGAACTGTAAAGCGATATTAAGCAGGCAAAGGACAGACTAAAGCATATATACGTAGGTTCTTCAGTCTTTACTGGTACTGCTTTAAATGTTGACCGTCATGGGCCAAGCACAGTTTGGTCCACGTTCATTGCGTCCGGTTGGACGTTGGTGATGCCGTTGCATACATTTTGTCCTAGGGTGTCAAGATTTCGTGGATTGTGGTAAAATTTGTCCTTCAAATTATTCCACAAATAAAAATAATATCTGTATAGATTATGCATCGCGGAGGACATAGATTCTATGAAACAGCCCTGTAAGGTGCTCAAACTGTATACATTGTTTTCAAGGGTCATGTTCGATTTCATTTATCTTGAGCCACCTTGTAGAATCATTAGAATAATGTCAACCAGAATGCTGAAAAACACTTGAATAAAAGGTGAATATCGACTCGAATATTGTTCATGTCAAAAAAGTACCAAGTACTGAACTTTTCCTAAATTTCATAACTATAACGAAAACAGTTTAACTTGTTGCATTATATAATGGAACGGCATATGCTTCTCACATAATTTTTTTTCCATTTCAGATGATTTCAATGAGATTTAAAAAGAAAGCCATATTATACAAAACATATATGAATAAATTAAAGTTTTTGAAAGAAAACTCAAAGTTTGTGTTATGTGGCGAATTTCAATTATTAATATGTGTTTCAAGTCATTATTCTAATATTTTTATTTGTATTCATGTGTATTTTAATCTGGAAAAAAAGTATTCTTAGCTCTTAAGGTTTATTTAACTTGTTACTCTTGAGTAGGATTGTAACAAAGGCGAGAGACGCTGCAAGGAAACACATCTTTATTGGTTTATGGCCTTTTCCTAATAGTGAGAGTAGTTACGTTGTTGTCGCTTTCTTCGCTGTTGGCCTTTTTTACTAATGGCGTTTGTAACGAAAATCGTCTTCCTTTCGCTTTGTTGTATAGTATTTGCAATGCTTCTTTCAGTAAGCTTAGGTAATTGGATTCTCGTAAAGTTTAGTTTCGGCTTGTTAGTTGGGGGATCCACTTTATTTCCCACATTATGTGTACAGATGTTTTTGGACTCCATTGTCAGATTTTCTTGTTTTTGATTCGTTGTGGGGATGTGTAATTTTCTCAGTTTATATAAAATAAAATTCTGGCATTGGTGTGATTTTAATTTTATGATGTTTTGTAAGCCAAAGAAATTTTCGGGGGGCGGAGAGGAGAGTTTACCTCGGTGCTTTGCACCAGGCAGAGATTATTCTGATTCTGAATTTTCAAGAAGAGTAAGAGAAAAAGTGGGGGCTTGACCCTTCGGGTCTTGCTCCTCGCTTGTCCTGTGAACCAGCGGGCGCGGGTATGATTTTTCTCTAGTGTTTGCTGCGAATTGCGTTGGCATTAAGGCGTAGAGCTCAGCATAGAATTTCAATTCTCTTGTTCCAAGAATTGTAATGCAGATTCCCGTGGTGATCCTGATGCGGTATACCTGTTTTTTTCCGCTTTGACTTCTTAATTAGATTTTGTTCTAAAAGTGCTCTACATTTTTGGTGGGTTTCAAGGCTTGCAGAATGAAAGAGACTCGTGTAGGATCCGTCTAAGGTGTGCGATGCTGTTTATTCTGCCTGTGTCAGCTGCGTCGATTTTTCATCCTTCCGTGCTCTGGAATTTATTTATTGTAAGGACTGCTGGACGATCTGTGGAGCTGTCAAATCACCTTATGAATCAGTTATTCCCGAGTGTGCGGTATGGATTTCACCCCGTAAGTGATTTGTTTTACTTTAATGATTACCTTAATACTCAAGCAAGAGTCGTCATGTTAATGTTTGTTGAAATTTGAGCAATTACTTAAATTAATTAATCGATGTGAAATTATCAGTGTTCTTAAAGTGAATTAACCTGATAAATACTTAAAGTTAAAGATGAAATGGGAGAAATACTAGTGTTACCTTATGATACAGTAGAATTTGATAATATTAATCTTAATAATGTAAGCTGTAATTTGGTGTAGTATTTATGCGTTATTTTGCTTAGAAAATATGTGGTAGGATTACTTATCGTTATCCAGTATTTATTATTAAAAGTCAGAATTTATAAAAATGTGTGTTTAAAATTTAATTGCATTTGTGTATTTATGTTTGTATAAGTTACTTGGTCTTCTGTCCTCCCCTTGTTTGAGCCGGGAGCTTTTAGAAACATGGAGTTTAATTGAATTTGGGGTTATTGATTTTTCCTTTGCATAGGTTACTCACAACGCAAACCTAAAAGTTAAATTGTACTATACCACTATACGATTGATTATACGATTGATTGATAGATTCACTATACGAATGTTTATAAGAATGTCGATATGATATGTGAATATGAATGTTTTGAATTATTTGAATTTTAGTAAGTTTTGGTCCGGCACAACAGTCAGTTAAGTTAAAGTTATGAAGGAATAAGGTATTAAAACACCAACATAATATTCAAATATTCAACATTTGGAAGAATCGTCTGTGGTATAACACATTAACATTTTAATAACATTTTTAATACTTGAGAAAAGAAACTGCTTCGGAGACACGAAAATATACCCAGCAAGAAGTAATAACAAAATCGGATAGCGATTCAAAAAATGTGTGGATCGGAAAAAACCGTTCTTAGTTTTAAGTTTCTATTCGTCATTTAAAATAGTCGTGCAAACAATCTTTGATGTTTTACATATGAATTGATAGATTTCAAAGACAACACTGAATACCGATTTGAGAAAAATGAGAAATAAATTTCACCATGCGCATATCCAAAATTTTTATCAAAATTTCATTATTTTTGAAATATTTTGACAATTATTCAGGCATGTAGTGCAAATCATAACACTTTCTGGGAGTGATTGCGAGCACTTATGATTGCGAGCAACTACATTCTGCAATGAAAATAATTAAAAGCTGCAACTAATCGAAGCTAAATGAAGTACGACTAGAAAACTACATTCGAGCTGCTCTAAAATCTATATTTTCAAATATTCATTTAGTTTCAATGAAACAATAAGGTTGCTATTTTGCTCATTTTCTTAACAGAAAGATAATTTGTATTTATAATATAAAATTGCAAAATTTTTAAATTTGTAGTTGACCCCCTGTAAAAAATTGCTCGCGCTCATCCGTGACCTTCGGGAATTGTTCTGCAGTTGGCCGTGGCTCATCTTTGTGATAGAAGATATTCTAATAGTTCCTCGAACATATCCTAATAGATCTCATTTTTAATTTCTTACTTCATTGATTTCTTTATAAATCAATGAGCTGTCTTAAACCTTAGTTGAAATATTTACATAAAACGGCGATTATATTCTTTTCTATAGTATCATCATGTTACGCCTGTAATAAGACAAGCTGTCAGCCACATTTAGTATAAATTCCTTTCTGCTACTAATTGCTATAATTATAATTTGAACCTGTCGGTTTGCTCATTTATGTAATGAACAGATCACTTTATATGGGTAGTAATTAATTACCAATTACGTTTAGTAAATGGGAATGTGTTATATCTGAAAATTTCTTGTTTTTTAATACTTTTAAAACTTTAAACTTTGACTCAACTTAACACATGATGCCGGACAAAACTAATTAAAAATCTCAAATAATTCAAAACAAGTTTTATTCATAATATATCAAAAGACCAATCAAATAAAAAATCTTATATCATATCTATCAATCAATCAATCAATCGTATAGTGGTAGTAAAATTTAACTTTTAGGTTTGCGTTGTGAGTAACCTATGCAAAAGGAAAAAATCAATAACCCCAAATTCAATTAAACTCCATGTTTCTAAGCATCCCAGCTCAAACAAATGGAGGGACATGACAAACCACAGTAAGTTAAATGCACAAACAAGTTAAATGCACAAACCACAGTAAGTTAAATCACAAGATAAATGCACAACGCAATTAAATTTTAAACACACATTTATTAAATTCTTGAATATATTATATTATTAGCAAATACTAGGGTAACTGATCAGTATCCCCTACCACATATTTTTACTATGAAAATATCGCATCTGTTACACAAAAATACAGCTTTCAACAATTAAAAGTGAAATTTTTTTTTCAAATTAAGTAGTGTAACAAAATTTAAATCCTCCAATAACAGGTTCTCATTAATTAGAATGTAACGTTTTTTTTCTAGCTCAGAAATTCAGTAGGTGAAACAAATTTTTTAATAATCCTCCTAAAACTGGCATTCACTTGAAATTATAAGTAACTTCTCAATTTTACTAACTGTAATATTTAAATTTATATAAGTAAAAACAATATACAGGTAGATAAATCATTATTAACTGTTCTGCATTCGGGAAACTAAGAGAGAGAGAGAGAGAAAATATACTTAAAAATTTCACTCACAGATGGAAAACAGTTTTTCCTGTTAGCAGGATCCTTAGTGTCCAATCCACATGGAAATGAGCCAAGCCCATTTTGCTTTCTGTGACAACCCTTTCTGAAGCGTCTAAAATCATTAGGAATCACGAGTGAAAATTACAGTCTAATAATTCTTCAAACAGCCAGGAATCGCTTTATCTGTCCATTAATTGGGAACCAATAGTCCAATTTAGAAGGATCTTTATTTCAATTGAATAACAGATAGCTGAATATACACAAGTTTTAGAGCGATCACTTGTATCATCGAAGCGGCGAATCAACATGTTATGCTGAATATTTCGGAAAAAGGCTCTTGGAGATAAACCTGCGATTCGGGTGAAGAGAGAAAAACTGTGCTAAATTTTCTTGGTAGATTGCTCTATATTACACACTAAAATATTAAACAGCTCTCAATAAAATGCTCTTTGCAGCTAGAGCACGTTTCTCTAGACATCTCGCAGGAAAATGTTCCTTGCATCTCTCACACAAATCTTTTAAACATCTCGCAGAAAAGAATGAATCCACTAGAGCAAAGGAAAACGCAACCCAAGTCCTCTTGCCCCGGCAACCGGCCGCACAGCAAAGCCGGCAGCAGGGCAAAACGCCCTTCATTCGTTTTTTTTTTCTTTCGCATCGCTGCTGCTCAAAGTCACCAACCGGCACTCCCGAGAACAAGACCCCTCAGGGGTCAAGCCCCACTCCTTTCTCCTCTTACTCTTCGCTTCAAAATCAGAATCAGAATAATCTCTAGCCTGGTGAAAGCACCCAGGAAATCTTGGTTTCTCCGCCTCTGTGAGTTCATAGGCTTTCAAAAAATCATCAAATTAAATCTTACGAATGCCGGAATTTTACGTTATCTAAACTGAGAAAATGACACACCCATAACGAATCAAACACCAGAAAATCTGACAATGCAATCCGAAAAAACATCTGTACACATAATGTGAGAAAAAGTAGATCCCCCAACTAACAAGCGGAGAATAAGCTTTATGAGAATCCAATTATCTAAGCTTAGTACACGCCCACTGTCTTGATGTAAGCAAAAACTGCAACCTTAACAAAGCGACAGGAAGACGATTTCCGTTTCACACGCATTAGCTAAAAGGCGGCAACACACACCCTACTGCCGCCATTGTTAGTAAAAAAGGCTATAACACAATAAACCAGATGTGCTTCCTTGCAACTGTCTCTCGTTGTTACAATTCCTACTCAAGAATAACAAGTTAAACCTTAAGAGCTTAAGAATACTTTTTTCCAGATTAAAATACACATGAATACAAATAAAAATATTAGAATAATGACTTGAAACACATATTAATAATTGAAATTCGCGACATAACAAATGCGCTAAGTTTTCAAACGTCAATTTATAAGTGCTACAAAATTTATCATTATAAGTAGTTTTCATCCCTAACACCTACTATATCTTTGTAATATTTTGAGATTTTCTTTTCCTATAAAGTTGCATTTAACAAAATTTTGTATTTTCTCCTTTTATAGAGCTCCAGATTGATAACGTCGACTTGGTTCGACCTTCCAAAGGTATGCTTCTGAGAAAATTACTTATATAATCATTCATGTATAACAATGTATAGAAAGGAACTCTCAGTTTGAAAAAAAAAAAAAAAAAAAAAAAAAAAAAAAAAAAAAAAAAAAAAAAAAAAAAACAAAAAAAAAAAAAAAAAAAGTAAAAAAAAACCTCTTATATATTCTTCGAGAAGGAAAGATAACAGATTAATCTTTAAGGCACAATAACACGCCGAATAAATACTAATTCAGAAGTCAAACAACAAAAATCAGCGTTATATTTACAAAATTTACAAATTAAAGATTAATCTTTGTTGTCATGTTTGCTACTGAATCTAAAAAGCAGCCTGCAAAATGCTGATAATGTTTTAGAAAGATTCAGAGAAGGAACCTCAACTACGAAATTATACAAATTAACTAAGCTGCTTATGCTAAAGGAAATAAATGTTTCTAACAATACTTGTGGGCTATGCAAAATGCTTTTCATCCCCAAAATTCAAAACTGGTATCCGTATTTTTCAACTGCTTTATTTTTCGTTATTTTTTAAAAATAATTTCATTTTTATTAAACCTATATGGTGTTTTTTTAAAACTGACATTAATCAGAGCCATTCATAATTCGATCTGTTATATGGAATGCCACCAAATGTGGTAGGGAGTCTAATGACGAAATGGAAGAAAGATTCCGTGAAACAAAATTAGTTCCGAAAGTTGCCCATAGGAGAAATTGGGGCGCTGTTCTAATTTGCACAGTCGCAAATTTGCAGGAAACGCACGTAAAATTTGAAAATTCAAATTGCCGTGTTACTTAAATGACAACATCGTCAGCAATTCAGTCTACAGTAAGGGAAATTAATCTATGAGAAGAGACAGTCTACAATTAGGGAAAGTAAGGAAAAATCATCGAAGAATATTCCTCACGTTTAGCTTCGTTCGTCTCACTTTATCTATTTCTGTGTTACTTCTAAAGTTGTTTTATCTTCGTTAAGCAAACGTATCCACCGTATTTATTGAGTTTAAAAGTCATAACAATCTACATAAAGGCCCTCCACAAATTAATGCACTGAAAGGCATGATTCAGAGGTTTAAAGAAATATAATCTTTTACAAATCGTTTTTGCAGAAGAAGAAAATAAATGTTATTGATGTCGTGACTGCAGTCGCTGACAGCACCCATTGGGCCATTGCTGGTAGTAGCAGTGCCTGAGGAATAGCACAACTGGATTTGAATCTTGCAACACTATGGCTAGTCTTTCAATCATTTTTTCCTTCTGTCCATCAAGATAAGCCGCGCGCAGGAATTAAAACATAACGATTATGATAAACTGGTGGTATTTACTCTGGCATTTCTTACCAGTATGAAAGTTTAAAGTGCTTATTAGGTGGCTTGGCCGTGGACAATTCTGCTGAGATATGAGGCCAACTTTCATCTAAATGAGACTATTAACAATTCACAGTTTTCGAATTTGAGTGTACGAATAATTGCATGCAGCTCAGGAAATAACACTGCATTCACCACTGATTGTCATGAAAAGTCACTGATTGGCATAATGTCATAGCAAATTCCCTTAGCGGACGATGGTTTATGATAGACGCACAGGTTTAGTTTTCCATTCCACAACTTCAGCAGCGGCAGTTGCTGTATCGTGCGATTTATGCCGGCTAAAACACAAGCGTACATTGGTCTATTGGTACAGTGGCTGTTGTGTTACCACTTTACAAAAGTAAGAGTTGTAAGTCACACACACAGAAGAAAGAGTCCAAGAGTCGTCGGTCACTTGCATGGTTGCCAGCTCTCCGGATCTAACCCCATGTGACTTATTTGCGTGGGATTAATTGGAGTTCAAGACCTATTTTGTTCCCGATCATGACAGCCTTACAGGACAACATAGCAAGAGCTGTGCTGAGCATTTCTAATGACATGCTACGTTCGGCCATCAAGTATGTTGCGTACAGGATGCAATGTGTGATCGACGAGAAGAGCGGTCACATTGTAAGAGGTCTATGCCCTCATCAAAGAAGCAATTTTATTGAATAAAATGCTGTGGCGCACTGAAAAATCATCTTTGTAAATCTTCGCAACAGTTCATTTGCCGCATTAAAATAGTCTTGGACTGAAATTTCTTCTTTCTTTTCGATTTGTCTAGTTCTCAGCTGTGTAGACTGGAAAAATGCCAGATTTTCACCTATTTGTAACTTTAGAAACATTTCTTTTCAGATAATAGTTTTTGTCATGTCGTCATTAGTCCCTCCTACCAAATTGGTGTCAATTGATGCCATGGCTCTGAGTAGCGTCAGTTTAATCAAAACACCATCTATAGACTTTCATGTAATCCTTTTCAAATATATTTATTTTGAAGTTTTGTTGAGTTAAACTGTTGCATACATTAATCAGTTTAAAATATTTTCTCCAAAAACCAAGATCTAGAAATGTGGAAAAATAAAACTCGCTGTGTATCAAAAATTAAATCAATTTTGAACATTTTCTTCTAATTCAGTAACAAAACAGGAAGAATTTAAAATTCGGAAAAAAGATGAAATTCTGCACAGTAGTAAAATTATCAAATAACTTAAAAACATCAATTAAAGGCGCTTTATGCATTTAAATTCAATTTTTCCAGTTCGAAAATGCATTAACTTAATTTCGTCATATAAAACGTTTGGCAAATTTAATGCATATTGCTAAGTTTTTAAATGGCAAGCTAAATTATGTGTGTTTTGCATTCAATTGAAAACTGAACTAATGAAATTTCTTTATATTGAAACACATGTAAATATTACGATTTCATTTTATAGTTTTATGCATATACGTCCATAAAAGCCATTTACGGCCTTTATTTCGAAACCATTGGTCATTAATATATACTTCCAGTTATAAAAATGTTTTAAGTGACTCAGATATTCATGATATGGCATTTATAGAATTAAAAGAAAAAAAATCAGTGTTGTAAAAATTACAAGTCTAATTTTATATACAGTTCTCCCAATCCGTAGATTAATAAAATTTTATACTCATTTTAAAAAATTAAATATAAACTATTTGATTCCTATATCATAAAATCGTCATTTGAAGATTTAATTTCAAAATTTGGGATTTTTAACATCTTTTTTGTTTCGTCTTTAAGGATATGATAAAAGTAGATTAGAAGAATTTAAGTTTGTTTTTTGCCCTTAAATGTGTTTCAATGGCATTATTTTGTGATTTACTACGACGTAACATTCTTCAAGTTATAATTTAATTACAATTCATATGGCAAAAAAAAATATGCAAATAGTTTATGCGTTTTCAACGCTATTAAAATTCTAAGGAAGCTTTTTTTTACTTTAGAATCATTAACTAACAAGCATACAAAAATTTATTAAACTAATTAAATTTCTTTTTCAAAATTAAACTGATAATGTTACGAGTTGGCTGTGTCCAAATGCCTGCTATTATTTTCTAAAAAATTTTTTCTCATAGATGCTCTGAGTAATATGCGAAATAATTTTCATGACAGATGTACATAGCCATGATCATAATTAAATAGATTAACCGTGGAAATCTGTCAGTAAACGGATATTTTATTTTTAGTTATATACAAATTTTACGTTTCAACAAACAATTTCGGAAACATTCACTTTTGAATTAGTGTACGATCTATGAACAGGATGTCAAGTCTTAAAATTAAATACTGCGATCTCAAGTCTTAAAATTTATATTGCGGTCAACATTTTGTTGCACTGAAGTTAATCATTTAGTGTTTTATTTTTAGAATAAGTACAAAATTTTACTGAATGATATAACTTTAGTATGTCGAAGTGACGCATAAAAGTTAGATTTAATAATTTAAAAGAAAATTGAGTTTTTCAGGGTAAACAAAATGCTATAACATGACAATTGTTTTATTTAAAGCACTTTTATAATTAAAAATATATAATAATGGCCGAAAGTTACTAAAGAAATGGCGAGAAATATTTTACGAATACGGTATAATGATGAATCCTCACAAATCACCACGAAGCAGTTAAAAAGAGTACAAAATGCAAGATATAATCTTAAATAATTGTTTAAATATTAACAGTTACATAATTTCATATACTGCAAATTTTATTTTCAAAATTTCATGGATATTATTCAAAATTTTGTTACTAATGACAATAACTTTTTTTTTCAGGGGAAAGATCTATAGATCCTATGTTTAATAAAGGTAAGTTGCCTAATTTAATATAATATTACTTTTGTGTCAGGGAATGGAAGTTAAGATTTTGGAACTAAATAAAAAATGAAGAAGTACACACGCACGCGCACACAGATCACACCCAGAACCAAATCACACTGATACGATCATTTCGTAGTATCCGGAATAACCACCATACACAGAGCGGGCAGAGCTTAGACAGATTCAGGAAGACTCAGTCAAGCGCTGAAAAGTAATCTCAGGGTTATATGAACTCATACTGATTATTGTGTACTTGATACCTGCTGGAGGGTGCATAGCAAAGATTCCATAAGAGAGAACATCCCTATTAAGGGGCTTCCATAGATATTTGAAGCTTCGATCTGAGGAATGTGGTGGCTAAGAAAGTAGAGTAACGTTTTTTTTCTGCTCTTCGTATCACACGTATGTATTCCAAGTTGCATGTCTCGTCACATCAACCTATGTGAAAATATCAATTTTCAGAAGGATACAAATATACATTTGTTGGTATATTTGACCTGCAAGGAGGATTAGTGCAAACTTAAATATATGCATTGTGCCATCCTCGATATTACTCGTATATAGATTTAGAGAATGCAGTGACAATACTCTCCATAATCCCCCAGCTCCCATTCGTCCATGAATGTTTGATAGCTGTTTGTTCTCCAGTGTCTTACTTCATATTCAGTGGAGGTCTACTGTTGGTGGTACTGTGCAATTACAGCCTCTGCCATCAATAACTTTGACAACATTCACTTGTCTAAATGTTGTCAAATGCTGTCATCCTATATGCACAATACATTTTACTAAACTCTCGTTTTGAGCACATTGCGATAACGTCCTGTTTCATTTCAGTAGTAAGTTGATTCATTGCATCATTTCGCACGATTTGAATTAAAATTTTTCATTTAGGGCTCGTAATCTCTATGCCACATATTTATAGGAAGCCATTTTGCCATTCATTATATACTTTGATTACAGCAGCACATGAACAGATGACAAATTGCGCAATTTCTGAAATGTAAACACCTTGTCGCGAAAACCAATGCCCATTCTCTTTTGAAAATTTGATTAATTGCCCCTTTATTTACAACAACAGCAATTGAAGGTTTCCAGAATGCACGAAACACACCATATATAGTCACCAAATTTACTAATGACACATATTCTTCCGTCAGAAGAGCTACCTCAGAAGAGACGCTTTTAGCTTCCTCCTCTCTGGACTGAACTAAAACACCCTGACAAAGTGTCATAATCTTCTTTCCACCTATTTAAGCTTCCATTTGTCCGGAATTTGATATCAAACAACATTCATCGTCAAGCCTGAAAGACCCAAATGTTATCTTAGTTGGTCAAATTGCGCTTCGCGTAATAAACTTGCGACAAGTATTAAATTCATATTCGTAATTGATGACAGATGCCTTATGACATTTTTTGCCATTCGTTATGCCATTCGCCTAATGTAACATGTAGAGGTCATCACATTAATGTGACTCGATCCTAGTAGATACAGATGGAGGTAAATAACAGGTAGATATAGAAGTAGATAAATAGGTAGATATTGATAGATAGATATTTACATATATTTAAAAGGAACTGGAATGTATTTTGATACTTACCACGATATTAACAGGCATAATTTCTGCATGCTATCTATCTTGAGCTATGACTGACTGTGTAGTATAGTAACCTCATACGACACTCAACCGGAAAGGCGTTAAAAATTGCCATATGTTAAAAAGGAGATCTGACAATTTATCGAGCATTTTGTTGAAATCGTATTCCCACAATTTCATTTTATTGGGCAATAAAATTCTAATAAACATTTGGTGAAACGTAGTTTATAATTTTAAACAATTTTTGTTTTATCTTTGAAATATTTCCAAGTTATAATTAGCAACTAGAGTAAGATAACTAAATGCGTGTTGATAAATAAGTATTTTTAAAGCGAAATTGTATCTTTATTCAGTTAAAATTATGCAGTACTCTGATACGTATGTGACTTATACATTTTATGAAAATATTTGATAAATTTGGTTAAAAAATATGATAAATTTGATGAGAAAAATTTGTTAAAAATGTTTTATAATTTATTAATTGACGAGAAAACAAAACAGTGAATATAAGCAAGTAGAATTACATTTAAAACGTTTATCAAAACTGCATTTAACAAGTTTAAGTGGTAAAACAAAAAGAAACATTAACGTATTGCTCCAAATATAATCAAATTATTAATTTATTTATTACTAGAAAAAACCTATAAAAGCCTTTAATTTCAATAAAATGATTTTAGATAATCACGTTACAGAAACCGATTAATAGTAATATTAATCAACTTTAACTGTGAAATTTTGTTTATTATTAAAGTAAAACATAGAAATGAATGCACTGCATACAGTAGATCATTATTATCAGAAAGCAACCTTTATACTTTGCTCACTTTTCTTTAAACTGATTAAAGCCTTTTTAGGAATCATCTTAGAAATTTGCATTTTGTTTTTACCACCTTTTCGTTAAAAATATATGAAACTTTAGAATGTTATTTGTTTTACCTAATCCTTATAAATTCATGTTTACTTCACAGAACGTTAAAATGAGTTAAGTCAGGCTTAAACTTCTCTTTGGACTTGACTTATTTGGAATATAGCTTGCTTATATCAATTCAAAGCAACAAGAAGGGTGTTTTCTGAAGTAGTTAATTTATCTTGCGTACTTATCTCAGTATCTTGTTTGACATAATCGTATTTTGTAGCCATAGAGAATTATGTCTGACATATTTTCATAAGCTATCGTTTCGTTATATTGAGATCTCAAGAGGAGTTTAGCTTTACCTAAGTTCCATATATGTTCTCGGATTCTCTAGTAAATAACTTATACAGTATTTTTGTTTAGTACTTTTTGAATAGTTGAAGATATGAAGTAATTGAGAATTTGAAGAATATAAAAACAAAGAAGACTGTTTGTTTTATGAGCTAGGTTTCTTTGCAGTTCACACTTGTTGCAAATATTTTGATACAGAACATTAAAGATTATTTTGTTACATAAAATGCATTATTTCCCACTTCAAATTCTTATTTTATAAAATTTCTTATCTTAGGTTTAGAGCTTGGAGATATTTTGTTGACAAGGAAACAGTTGGAACAGGTAAATAAAAGATGAAGTTCTATTATTTTCAAATATAAAAATACCGTTTGCATATATATGCTATAAAATATTTTAATTCTAGGCACGTCAAGGTATCCGCTTCGACAAATATGCAGGAAACAAGTGGTCTGGAAGACAAATTCCTTATGCTATATCAAGCGCATACGGTACGAATGTGTGAAGTATATTAAGAACATTTTAAAATTTCTCTGTAAAAAAACGATTAATAAATAAAATTCAGTTAAGTGGAAAAGAATCCAGATACTCTTCTTGATTATAAAAAAATGTATTATTTTGCGTTAAATTATTATTAACTTCGTTTAGAAGATTTTTTATTTAATTTATGACTCAAGCTAGCATTCTCTTTTAATATCCTCTATGATTTAAGTATGGCTTGAATGTAAGTTCTTTATAACATTTAGAAAACAATATATTAATCAGAATTATTTAATATAAATAAAAGTCTATAGAGCATGAAAGTAATGAATATAATGTTTAAGCTTGCTAGGTAGTTCATTAAATAGGTTTCACTAAAAATTTCTTTGCTTAATTGCTTACATCATGTGGCTTTAGAATTGCTTTCCAGCCTAAAGTTTAGTATTATTTGCATAAATCATTTATCAGTTAGCAATATCAAATACCTAGTCCGTATTTAACTGACTTTTAGGGATGTTTTATTAAAACAAACTGTCTTCTAAAAGCATAATATTGCCTATCTGTTGTAAAATGTTCATAAATGTTTACCATAATATTAAAATCCCTTTGCATCCTTTTGAATTTTTCTGCTTCCAAGGTCGATGTTTGCATATTCCTTTCGTAAAAAGTAAGGCGGATATATATATATATATATATATGACAAACTTATGTAACAGGATGACTTTCATAAAGCTGCAACGGATTGGAGAAGTTTCTCTGCATTACAATAACTTGGAAAGGCTTTACTGCGTAGTTAGAAGGATGACATACGAAGACAGATATAGCCATAAATTCCACGCATAATTTTACTCTTTGGTAATTAATTCATGGGACACATATTCTGTTTCATTGAACATCATCATTATGGGTGGGCTATGCACCTCACAATTTTACACAGATTACATTTTTATAGCAATGGATAATAGCTAGCAGAGGCCAAGCGAGCGAAATAGCAACAGGGAGAAAAGCGGAAGCTAAAGTGCGCAGGTATCCAATATGGAAGCTCTCCAAGAGGAGGTTTCGCTTTAATTAGCTTATTAAGAGAAAGTTTCAGATCTCGAAGTTTTGAGTTTAAGCTCCGAATTAACTAGGCAAGCTACGCAAATTATACGAGATGGATTAATCTAGAAATAACGCAGTCCAGAAAAAAATCATTGTTATTTTTAGAATAGAAAAGGGGAATTAAGAAGTTATTGCTAGCTTAAATTATAATTTTGATTCACATATTTTCAATTAAAACTTTGATTTACATTTGATTACACACATATGAATATGTATGTGAAATGAGCAGATCGCGCATTGTAGAGATTTCTGTACTATTCAAAGTGAGAAAGGTGAAAACTCTCGCCAGAACGTTTGCCATAGAATTTCTGCAACAAGAGTCATAGATCTTCTATATTATCCGTAGAATTTTCGCAACAACAGTCATAGATCTCCTGAAAAGCAATAGATTTTTCACAACATACGCCGGAACAAGAAAAAGGGACTAAGGATGTGCGGTTGATCAAATCCAACTGGGACAGAATATAAGTCTTTGAACAGATTATTAGGCTTTCGAGAATGAGAAATGGAAATAATTAACTGTGTCTTCAACAACACTTGAGTATTCCAGTAACTAGCCAGACATGCTAATTACTTGCATCATAAGAGTACGTACGGCGAAAACAGAAATTTGTTGCAGCACAATTGTCGCCTTTCGATATTTCATGTATTATCTAATGTTTCATACAGTTATTATTAAGAGTCATTTAATAATTGAGAACATCGGAAGTTTTAAATATAACTCAGAGGATCAATCTGCTATATTGTGTAAATTTATTAAATTTTAATTTGTTTCTCAATCAGATTAGAAAAATACTAAAATGTTTTAAGAGGCTGTTTAATACTTAATTATATAAATGTAAGCTGTTTTTATTTTACATCTAGCAAGAGTCTATTAGTAACATTTTTATTAAAAAGTCTTATTGTTGTACATAACAGAAAACAGTATACGGTATTCAAATTAAGCAACCGCACAGTAAAAAACAAAGAAAATGCAACAAAATAAGTATGCAGATTATATTATCTATGATATTTGCTCAAGGGCTATGTAATGAACATGAATACAAATTACATTAGATAGAGCTTTAAGAACAATCACGACTAAATGGTACGGTGAAATATGGTTGCCAAAGAAAATAAAGTTACATAGAAACAGAACTACCGTTAGGCAACAGAAAGCGTACATACAATAAGGAATTTTCTGTAGACTAACTCCTTGTATTCCTTCCTGTGTAAGGAATCTTGTGTTAATTAACCAGTTCTTACTAACTCCTGCTTTCCGGGTTCATTACCAGAATGCAAATTAGTAGTGAGTATTTAAGCTGAGGGTTTTGAATTTGAGACACAAAGAATGCTTCTAGCATCCAGTATGGTTAGTTTTCAGTCAGCTGTGGCAGTTGTAATTATTCGGCTTTGTTGTCTCTCGCTGTCGACACCTAAATTCTGATGCGCCGGTAGAGTGCTTCTAGTACAGAATTTTAATTGTCTTTGATTAGTCTTTGACAAATCTTCAACATTTAATTTAAATTGGACTGTTCTATTTAATTTCATCACCATGATTTGTGGCTTTTGTACTACAAGGGAGTGATCTTATGTTCTTTGTTCTATTTAAATAAAAGGTTGTTTTAACCTTTTGAAGACTTTGTCATTCCTCTCAGATATAGCGACCACTCACTTCACGTCTGCTGTGGTTACAGGACGAAAGCTTAGCTTAAACTTTACCAAATCAAGTATAACTCTATAACTGATTAAAATGTAGACATTATTATTTTCATATGAGAAGAAGGCTGGGCAGCTTTCAGAATAACTGTTCGGTCTGTTTGTTTACGACTGAGGATCTGGGGTATGAATAAAATATTTTTCGAATAAGTTTCGAAAGGACATTTAGTTTAAATTGCTCAGTAAATAATACAATTTACTTTGTTATAAAATTTATATATTACAATATCTTCTAAAGATATTTCTGTCAAAAGGACCTAAATTTCGACAAAAAAAGATTAGCTAAATATACTTCAGTTAAAGAAAATTTTCCTTCGCAATTTCTTCATAAAACTCGAGTAGCGAAATGTATACAATAAGCAAAATTTAATATTCTATATAAATGTTTTTCAAACCAGTTTGCTTCTCAATTACAGGGTCTTCATATAGAGCTGCAATTAAGGATGCAATCGGCGTGTGGAACAATCAAGTCTCATGCGTAAAGTTTGTTCCCCGAAGCTGGTGGCAAAGAGATTATGTTTTCTTTTTCAATGGAAATGGGTATGAAATACGTTTTCATAATAATTTGCATTTGTCTGTCAACTATTTCATTGCTTAATTTTGAGAATGTTTCGATAATAAATTAAACTAAATAACAAGGTACAATATGTTCTATAGTTTTGTAAATAATAGTGAAGAACACTAAACTTATATCATGGAGGGAACAAACAAATCCAATCTTGAAATTCCAGCCACTGATTATAATTATATTCTCGTTTTACAAGAAATATATTGTAAATAAAATTAAATGTTCTTCAAAGATGAATAATAAATGCTTCGAAAATATATCGTAATACAGATATAATTTTTTTGACATCACATTTAAATGTCATCTGATTTTTATACTATCAACGAATAACATACTAATTATTAACTGAAGAAGTTATAAATAATTTTTTATTGTTCAGTGCAGTTGAAGAGCACCTTTCTCAATGCTAGAGACTAGTAATCAACTTACAAAATTTTAAAGTGTGCGACCCAGACGCTATAGTGGTTAGTGAGTTCGGCTGACTGTGACTGGGTTCGAATCCCGGAAAAGGCACCTTTGTAACTGTTCGTCCTTATGTAGAAGGCAACGGTGATCATCTATTAGGTGCTTCTGTAATGCAATGGCCACCATTTCTGACCCTTGTAGTGGCGCAAACTAATGGGTAATGTGCCGGACCATTAAAAAAACATTTTAAGGCGTTCGAGAATCTGTTTCCATATCTGGAAGTTCGGATTAATGTCTTTGAAATAGAAATTTTTTTAAATATTAGTTAAAAATGTAACAGCTGCCGCATTGCCCTTGGAAAACATTTCTAGAAATGTGTCACAATAATTCTGGTATTATATACTACAAGCTTAAATTTGTAAAAACAAATAATTACAGCATAGTGATTTTGATAGTCAAAAAGACAAAATCTTTGCTAAAACGCATTTAAGACAATGAAAAATTAAAATTGCTATATTTTCTTAATCTGCGAAGTCTAAACACCATTTCTCGTTGAATGAAGTATTACAATTTAAAACAGTTGCATATCCTACTATATTTTATTTTTATAAGAAATTATTCCTGAGAAAAATCTAAGCATAAAGCTTCGACTATACGTTTACTTTTTCTTCAAACTTTAAAAATATGAACTTATTTATTTCTAGATGCTATTCTAACCTGGGCAAAGTAGGAGGAAAACAGAGTATTTCTTTGTCTACCAGTGGATGCTTCAGACAAGGAACTATTTTACATGAAATGATACATGCAACTGGAACAACTCATGAGCAAAATCGTTCCGATCGTGACGAATATATCAGGGTCCTGTTTGAAAATATACCCGAAGGTACTTTCATTTTCTAATATTTGATTAACCCTTTACTCCAGAATCAAACTTACAAGCCCAAGTTCATGTTAATAACATTAAATAATAATAAAAAAGATACAAATTACGAATTTGACTAAAAGTTTAACATTTTAAATCAATTTGACATTTAGAATAGATTTAATGTGAAGAACAGATGTAATACAAACATTGCAACTTCATCGATGAAATAAAATTTCTTTTGACCATTGTTATCATTGCTACTATTATGCAGTGCGTTCGAAAAAGAATGCTATTTTCTTAAATGTTGGCTCTATACTTATACGCAATAAGTTTAGTTACAAAGTTTCTGAAAATAATAAAAAATCTGAATATAAATGTATTTTGTTACTTATTTATATTTTTATTAACGATTTAGAGTGGCGATCCCAGTACGAGAAAACCGACCCAGCCGACTTTGGTCTGCAGGGTTTCTATGATTATTACTCCGTGATGCATTACCCAATGCAAGCACCGGGAACAGGCAAACCTGCATTCCAGATACTTAAACCAGGAATTGATGAGTCTAGAATAGGACAAAGAGATGGATTTACTCAAATTGATTTGGAGAAAATAGCAGAGCAATACTGCTAATTCAGCTGTCATTATCTTAGTAGCAGAAGTTCACTATCAAAATTCCTAAGGAAATTACGTGGTTTTCTCATACTAAAAACTGAATAAATCATGAAATTGTTCTTATATGTAATGCTTATTTATTATGGATGGGTAATTTTATTAAAATAATTACGCATTAAACAGTGCATCTGATTTATTCCTCATTTATACATAAATACGCATACATAACTACATACACACCCTATTGCACACGTAGGCATATAAATAAATCAAAATGATGTAAAAACCGCAAGTAATGAGGGAACTTTGTGGGAAGACATATATGCATGTCTACAATAAAATAATTATTAGATTATGAGCCGATAGAGGAAATTTAATGAATTAAAAAATAAAAAACGGAAAAAGCAACAAAAATACACAAATTTTATTGATTATAAACTGTCTGTCATGCACCGTCTCAAATTTCTTATACGCATCTATGAGCACGCTGCAAAGGGAAGCTCATACAAACCCCATCTATTTCGAAAGAATGATCTCAGATTTTACACCCATTGCTTTTATATTCAATAAAGGGGCCGCACTCGGTTGAACAGAAGTGTTTACAGCTCTGCCTAGCGGAAAAGTAAGAAAATTAAATCTGAATCTGTAATAAAGAGACATAAGAGGGAGTAGAATGCATAATTATAGAACAGTATTTCGTTGCTATGAATCGGCACGGAGAAATGCATTAATTCTTAATAAACACGATCTGTATATCATTGAAAATAAATCCATTAAGTGTCATTGCCTTATTCATCATTCTTTTGATAATGCCTGTTTATGAAAATATTAATGAAAGTATTCTCATATTATCAGGAACAGGTATGCATCAAGATAGATTTTTTATATATCTGTCATATTTTATGAATACAATGCTTATTCAAAACTTTTTAATGGCATTAAAGAATTGAGTGCCTTGCCCATTGCCTTCATGCTCAGGCGTATAATGGCAACATTCACTTGAATACCTAAGCGTCTTGGCAAAGCAAGGACTTCATTAGCTACGACAAAATACTGCACTTGCAGTATGATATACGTACACAATCTCAAAGCTTCTATAACATATTTATCAGGAGATCAGTATTCTGAGACTATAATATTTTATGTCCAATGTAATCATAATTTCAAAGAGGCTTTAGGCCATATTCCCAGTTTTCTGTTGATGGTTTTCCAACTGATACAATGATTTCCAGTACAGATCATGACTTCAAAGACGCGAGTATCATAGCATCATGTCTTTGACATGGTACTATGTCATTCATCTTTTGGGTTGCTGCATATCCCTTTAGAAATTATATTTAAGGAAATTGAAATTATTCATCCAGATTCAAACAACTGTATTTTTTATTTTTACAAGAGCAAACTGATTATGCACTACTAGCCGCCAATTTTATATTTTTTACCTTAAAACTGCTCAAAATGATTTCCAACAGTTTCATTAACAATGATAAGATGATATATAAATTAATTTTGTTGTCAGACAATTTTCAAATTTATTTTTTATCATATTTTCGTTATTAAGCTTAACTATAGGCTTTGTCACGAACACTAAATGAATAAAAATGCATTTCGAAGCAGTGTGAAGGCATGGGAATTAGAAAAAATTAAGCTGCTAAACTGTCAAGTCCTTCCAGAATCAAGAGTTTGAACATCGTTTAGGACTCTAATGACAATCCGAATTCCGCGTATAGAATTACAAAACTTTAAGAACAAATTTATGCCATGCTAAAGATTCAAGTACAGTAAGACACTAAACAAAGCAGAATTATGTAAGTAAATGCAGAATTATGTAAAAGTACACCCGTTAACCAGTAAAGGTACCCAAATTTCATGGACATTTCGTAGTAAAAGAATTATTATCACAGCTTCTAATAATACTAAATATGACAATACTGAATAAATGTCTTAATATTTAATTATGAAATTTCTCATTCAAAGTTTAAAATGGAGAAATACACTTTTTTGCAAAAAAAATCGAAGCACCATGAGGGAAGTGGTTCTTTTTCATGAAATTGAATATGTGTATAGCGCATACACAGATAATTAAATGATTAAAA